TTTTGGCAGTGTAATGGGGCCATTCCTCATGGGACCAAGCCTCCCTTTCCTTCAAGGGCTTGTGGGTCTGTAAACTGGCTCAAATCTGGGAAATTAATTGAGGGGCGGTAACTCTATTCTGGTGATTTGACTTAGACTGCCATTCACTTGACCTGGAATTCTTCTGCTTGTACAGATTAAGTAAATAGTAGATTTCCCATCTATTTCACTCTTAGGAACACCATGACTAAGTAGCTAATGCCATAAATCCATATGTGTCAGACTATTCCGATTACTGCTTTGACTCTGCTGTTCATTACGGTAACTGTGCTCGCCATGTCTTTGCCGATGAGTGCTGCCACTTGACCCCTACCACCACGAGTTCCAATCAACCCCATTGAGTTAGGTGTATTAATTCAGTTAAGGTGGTTCCCTCTGTCAAATCTGACTTACATAAAATAGCAATCACAGCAGTCTCCAAGGATGCTGGGGCTCCCTTCACAAATTTGTTCCTCACTCTTGTGGTAAAAAATGTGTCCTCTGGGCACTCTATGGGTGGATCTGTGTGTCCAAACCTGATAAATCCACTCCAGCATGCTGATTTCTCGAGGCCTTTGGATACCTTCTTCTATAGTATACCAAGGCAGGTCTGGCATTTCAGCATGATTTAGTGTAGGCCACCACTTAATCCATGCTTCAGTGAACCAGAAGATAAGCCTCTCAGGTTGGAAGGTACTCAAAATACAAATGGAGAAGAGCTGCCTCCTCAAAATAGAGTTGACCTTAATGATGTAATGGAGTCAAGCTTTCGGAACCTTCATTTGCTGTTGTGGCACGACTCAAAATGAGAAGAAACAGCTGCAAGCATCCTTTAATAATTGGAACATGTAATGTACAAAATATGAATCTAGGAAAATTGGAAGTGGTCAAAAATGAAATAGAAAGCATAAACATTGATATCCTAGGCAAATATTTGATCCAATAGTGGTGATATTTTGCATATTTCTATTGCCACCTCAAGCCATGAATTAGCCAATGAATTTACTTCTGGAGAGAGTCATTAGCACCTTTAAGTCTAGCTAGACTTGAGAAGGAGCTATGGTGGTGCAATAGTTATGCCCTGGGCAGCTAACCGAAAAGTCAGCGGTTTGAACCCACAAGCTGCTCCATGGGAGAAAGACGTGGCAGTCTGCTTCAGTAAAGATTTACAGCACTGGAAACTCTGTGGGGGAAGTTCTACTCTGTTCTATAGGGTCACAATGGATGACAATCGGTTTATGGGCTAGACTTGAGAATCAATTCAGAAAACTCATCTTTACAATTTTGTTCCTTTAGAACCACTCTTTGCTCCTCTAGAGGAGCAAAACTAGTGAAGTGTGTATACATATACCTAAACCAAAAACCAAACTCGTTGCCATCGAGTCGATTTTGACTCATAGTGACCCTATAGGACAGAGTAGAACTGCCCTGCCCCATAGGGTTTCCAAGGAGCACCTGGTAGACTCAAACTGCTGACCTTTTGGTTAGCAGCCATAGCTCTTAACCACTACACCACGAGGGGATATATATACGTAGAGAGATTGAGAGAAAGAGAGAGATGTTTATTTCAAGAAAATGCCTCACGGAGTTGTGGAGGCTGGCAAGTCCTAAATCTGTGGGTCAGGCACCAGGTTGGAGGCTTCCCCTGACTCATGTGGGTGCAGGGGCTGATGAACCCAAAATCTGTAAGTCAGATAGCAGGCTCCTGGCTCACATCCCAGAAACTGTAGGTCAGAGGATGATGAGTCGGATGCAGGATTGAGAGATAGTGAGCTTTGCCAGAACATTCATATATATTGGATACACTCCCAAGGAAACTCCCCTTTCCACTGATTGGCTGTTCACATCAGATTGCAAAAGAGAGGATGATTACATAACATCTGCCAAACCCCTGAGAATCATGGTCTAGCCAAGCTGACACATAAACTTAACCGTCATACCTCCCCTCCCCTCATTCTTTATATAACAACTCCCTCCAATCAGAGCTTAGACCAAACATCAACTCCTACTTCTTTAGATTAGATATTACATATTTAGACAAAGACCTCAACCATAACATGTTGTAGCTTATTTTCAACAGCTGTCCCCAAATATGGTAAAGACCATTATTAGTGATCTCTATTCTGTTTGGCTTGCCCTACCTCTTACCTTCTGGATCCGGTTAGAGTGATTTATTAGCATTCCTATCTTGGTCAACTTCTGGAACGTGACTCAGGTGTTAGTTCTTTACTCCGACATGTATATTATATATATTCATTCAATTATTTATACATTTATGTAATCATTTTATAATCGTATATATACATACATTTATATATATATGTATATGTATGTTTTTCTATGACCTCTCATTTTCTCATTTCTCATATTTCATTACCCTTTTAGAAGGTAATATTTCCCCATTTACTGCCCACACATGATTTCTAGGTTGTCTACATTTCTTCTTTCGTATTTCCCTTTGTCCATGTCATCCATGTGTCAGCTCTCCTGACTGTTCTCCTCCCCCTACTCTGTCCATCCCTGATCCAGAAGTAGCAGGCACAAGCTTTTCCATAAAATGTGAACTCTACATCCTGTTTAATACGCATTGATTGGAAAAGTATTAACTTTTACAATAGACAAAGAGGATCCAGTGCTGCTATTGTTAAACATGAGGTTACAATGCCTACTGTATCTTGTTCTTCTAGATGTATGACAGATTCTTTCTATTAAATAATTGAAATCGTTGAGCATAAAAGAATGCTTGCTGGATTCTTAGAACGATGCATGCATGGGTCAACGAGATTCTGCTTTCTCAGGAAGACAAACATTCAGCTCTTTCGCAGCTTAGCCCTAAAACTCCTGGGCACCTTGTGAGGCCAAGAAAGCCAAGGAGTCTGGTTCATACAGTAATGGCTTGGCTAATCTGTACTATTTTCCTGAAGTGGTTAACATTCCTCATGAAGAAACAGAGGCTAAGTGACTCAAGGTAGATTAGTAAAAAAGACCTGAAACCCTCTTAGAATTCTTGGTATGCTGGTTGGCAGGATTCCTGTCTGTCCCAGGACAGGTTTTCTCTCAAAATCATAAACTTCCAAAAACATAAATCATCCCCATGTAGGTAAAGAAGAGAAACTATATTGATGTTTCTCCTTTTTTTTTTTTTTTTTCCTAAAAAGAAAGAGAATAAACCTTCAACACTATCAGAAATGTAACATGGATTTAGAACAAACCAAAAGAAATCTCTGGTAAATAATCATGACTAATCATGTACCAACCGGACTCCTTAAATACGCCATGGCACCTAGGAAATTGTTTGTTAGTTTGAAGAGTAGAAAGCACCACAAGAGAGATTAACTTTTCACTCAATTAATATTTTGTATTAAACAAAAGTAATTCAACAGCTCTCAGTTCATTCTTGTTAATTCAGTCTCCACTTTTCCAATAAAAGAATTTAAATCACTGCTAGTAGAAAAGATATTTAAAAAATAAATGTCAAAATATTTCATTATATCATTCCTAAGGAAATATTCACAAAAATACTTTGTGCCAAATATAGTTATATAAAATTGGACGTGCCAGAATTCTTCAACTGTTTTACTCACCCCAGGCAAATTTGAGTTTACCATGAACTTTCCCTAGAGCCAAGTACCCCAGTTATTTCGTTAGGTGCTGTCAAGTTGATTTTGACTCATAGTGACCATGTGACAGAGTAGAACTGCCCCTTAGGGTTTTCTAGGCTGTAATCTTCACAAGAGCAGATCACCATGTCTTTCTCCCACAGAGTTGCTGGGTAGGTTCGAACCACCAACCTTTTGGTTAGCAGCCGAGTGCTTAACCATTGTGCCAGTGGAGTTCCTTAAATCTCCCTGGACGTATATTTTAACAAAACACAGAAAATGTCTAGATTCTGTTTCTTCCCCTGCCCCAGTCCCCATACTCTGTGCTTAGGAACCCAGCTATATTACTAAGTGTTACTAGGGGGAAGGAGTCCCTGGGTGGTGGAAATGGTTAATGCACTTGGCTGTTAACCAAAAGGTTGTTAGTTCAAGCTCACCCTGAGGCACCTTGAAAGAAAGAAAGGCCTGGTGATCTACTTCTGAAAAACATCAGCCATTGAAAACCCTATAGATCACTGTTCTCTGCCACACATGGGGTCACCATGAGTCAGCACCGACTCAACTGAAACTAGCAATAATGGGGAACTTAATAACACTGAATAACGTATAAAATGCAGTTAAGTTTGCTGCAGAAAGAGGGGGAAACAGAAACTTGCTGCAGCACACTATGTGGTTGAATGTCACCAAAGATGCCAACTGAGCAAGGGGCAATGGCGGAGCCATCAACACCCCTGCTGGTACAATAGCCACCAGGAAGATCACGGAAGTTCTACTCAATCAATCTTTCAGTAACTTGGTCACCAAGGCCCAGAGGCAGGTGTACACCTGCTTATACCTTTAAGGTGACCTTACCTGAGGCTTTCCCAAACTAAGAGGAACTAGATTTGTAGAAGAGGATGACAGGGTTGGGGAAGTATAGGGGACAATGACGGGGTAGATCAATCCTGGAGCTCTTCGCTTCCTTGCTAATTTCTCTCTGGTTCACAAGGAACATAGAATATTTTTCCTTCCTCATCTCCCTTTCTCCACTTAGGTGTTTTACTTCTAGCTTTGTTGTATGCACAACAAGTTACATCAAACCAACCTGTGTTACTGATTGTAAAAGATGCTTGAAGAGGAGTTGAGGAAAAGGCGGGGTGGGGGGAGACATGTCCCCAGATGAATTTCATTTATATAATGAAAATAAATTTTTATACAGTCAACAGAAACACACCAAGCTTTTTTGTGAAAAATATTTTTTAGATAAATTTTTGTCTTTTTTTTTTTTTTTTTACATTCTGATATACATATGTAACAAGGTTTATGGCACTGTAACCAGAATCAAATCCAAAACAAAACAAAAAAAAATTGAACAAAGGTACAAGATGGGAAGGAAAATAATTGTTTTTTTTTTTTTTTTTTAATTCCTTGCTATCTCCAAGCTGGCAAATTTGCACTGTCTAGTATTAGGCTACCAGTGCGAACTTGTTTGCGCACTCAAAACACCATAGTATTGCACAAGAAGCCAGTGAAGGCATATGGGATTATGGTCAAGTTCCTTGCTACTAAAAAAAAAACCCTAAAACCCAGAGAGGGGGAACAAAAAAATCCAGAGTATGAAACACACAAACTCAACAGTATCCTTTGACTCTTTAAAGAATGTGTGAAGGAAGGGTTCTTAGATGACTTCAGCTGCCCTGATCTTTTCTCTGCACCAGTGAGCCCTACAGGGCTTGGCTGGGTGGGTTCTGTATTCTGTGTGGATGGCCTGGGCAGACCTCAGGTCTTCCTGACTCAATGTCTTCTCTGCTTACTTTTGGTTCTTTGTCATTGTATTGAAGTGTAGCATCTTCGGTCTATGAGCCTGCACAGACTATTTCATCACAAACTCTACAAATAGCTTAAAACAAAAGGGAGGAGAACCAAGTTTTATTTTATTTTTATTGTTGGCTTAAAAAATGACTTCTTTAGCCTCCCTGTTTTATCAGTTTGTGGGAAATGAATCCTGGCATCAATGGCATCAACAATGATGTCACTGGCATTGAAAGATAAATTCTTCTCACACATGTTAAAAATAAAAAGTTTCTGAACAAGTTTGTTTCCATTCACAAACTTTACCCCATCCTAAAAAACAAAAAAAGAAAGAAAAAGAACACCAGCCCTCCTTTCTCCTCGACTTCTAACGAAGAACAGGAATCCTTTCCCTCCAGGCTGCTGTCACACGACCGTCTCCATGCCCATCAGCTTTGGTGTAAGGATTCGTGGTGTCACACCGTTGTTTAAGTCTTCCTCAAACTCCAGCAACTGTCCCATGAAGTTAAGGTTTGGAGAAATAATTGGTCGCTTGCCTTTGACAAACTTATAAGCGTCAGTCATGGTCATCCGAGTGTGCTTCATCAAGTAAGCAATGACAATGGTGGCAGAGCGGGACACCCCAGCCTGGCAATGGATGAGGAGCCCCTTCCCACACTGGTGAGCTTCCTCTGGAGAAAGGCAGAAAGGCAGGAGGGGAGGGGAAGGAGGGAGCGAGATGGAAGGAGAGAGATTAACTTTTGTTTAGACCTGACAATGCCATATTTTATAGAGAAAGTATGTATTAAAAAAAAGAATTTAAAACAAGTATAATTTACCAGTTGATTTTGTATGTTTATCTCATAATCACAATGGGCTAAAAGTAATATTAGCCTGAGTAAGAACCTACATCTCTACTTTTTCTACATGTAAAAAGAAGATTAGGTAAAAGAATCATTTGCAGTAACAGTTTACTTCACAGGTGATGGCAGCGGACTGAAGCTAGACCTACAACACAATTAATTTACATGTTAAACAAGCTACCGATTAAGTAGACCTTAAGGAGCCCTGGTTGCGCAGTGGTTAAAGTGCTCAGCTGCCAACCAAAAGCTCCCACCAGTGGCTCCGTGGGAGAAAGACGTGGCAGTCTGTTTCTGTAAAGATTACTGCCTTGGAAGCCCTATGGGGCAGTTCTACTCTGTCCTATAGGGTCACTATGAGTCAGAATTAGCTTGACAGCAACGGGTTTTAATATCCTTGAGTCAGGAGCGATTTAACAGCAGCTAACAACAATACCAGCAGTAATAGTCATTCAGTCTCCCTCTCAAATATTTTGTTCCTTTTTTTTTTCTGAAATCATACTACTAAAAGAGAGGGAAGGAGGAAGGATGGAAGGAAGGGAAGGAAAGAGAGAGAGAAGGAGGGAGGGAGGGAGTAAAATACTGTACACAACCATACACATCCATACACACACATACACAGTGTAGAGTTCCTCTTCCGATTAAGGCTGTTAAGTCCAATCACCAAGTTGTATGACTTATCAAAACTAGTGTTACTAACAGTAGTTCTCCCATGTGATGGAAAAGATATCATTTATTTCTTTATACTATGGAATTGCTCTACGCAGGAACTGATATTACATGGATAGGAGTTTCAGTCTTACTAAACCATGACTAAGGTTAAAGGAATAAAACTCAACTAGAAACTTACTACATTCAGCTTCTTCCCAGAAAACCCAACAGTTGCAAAATTCACTAAAGACTCGTAGCACACAGGCACAGAGTGCCGTCTACATCTTAACTGTTCAGCCACCCTCATATCCAGGCTTGCTGTTCCAACATGGCGGTGATGTGAAAGATGGAGGAATTCCAGTCATGGCTCAGGATCCATCGGGAAGATGGAAGAATTCTAGCCATGGCTCAGAGCAATTGAAAGAGGCACTACTTTATAACTTTTCAGACATATTAAAAGCTCTGGAGAATAGCTGTGGGCACTGCCTGAACAGATTCTTACTGATTCTTCTAGGCTAAAAGGCATCCCATAGAAAGCTGCCCTGAATGAATGCCAATTAGATGAAGAGGCAGGGAAGGGAAGGGGGGAGGAGAGTAGAGTTTTAACCTAAATTACTTTTATTGGCTACCCACCAATGGACCACGAAAGAAACATGATGTAAGCGTTCATCCTAAAACTCTATAGATTAGTCAGACTTCTCATAGATAACCGCATTTCAAGAAGTAAGTGTCTCCCATTTTCAATTTGTTCTCTTCAGCACACACTATTTATCAACCTCCAAACTAAGAGCGGCTAGCATGGAGATAAGAGGATGAGCAGCAAAGGGCTAGGTTTGACTCTTGGTTGCCTGCAAACCAGCTGAGTGACCCCCTGTGAGTCGGGAAACTCCCCAGAGCCGCAATCCCCCAGTCTGAACAATGGGAATAATACTAGCCAACCAGCCTCAGGGACTATGGGAATAACACTATCGGATTCAGGAAGGACAAAGTAGCATTGTTAAAGCCTAAAAAGACTCTGAGTAGTTTATACTAGACTCTTGGTCAATGATATAATCATATTTATAAAATCTGCTGTATTTTCCCCAAAACGAGACTAAAATCTCAGTATCTCCAATGTATAACAATGAAAATACAAATGTACCCAGGCAGACTGTGATTCTGAATTGTTCTTCGGGCTAAATGCTGTTTTGCTGTTTTTTTTTTTTTCCTTCTGAACAAGCAGGCAAGTCTGAATAATCTACAAGGAATGTGGGTGATTTGGTTGAAATCCTCTTAAAAACAGGCATATCTTATGCTACTTGTTAAATGGAAGACAATTTCCTAACTTCCCTCAGCTGGAATTAAGTCAGATGAAATTGTACCCAAACATCATATATCAACCAGGAAGTTTCTCTTCTACTTGGTGACAAATATTTCTTCCCAGGGAGCTCAAGGTTTGGCTTAGATATTATTAATAATCTGCAGTATTGCTGCATCTTCAAGAGTTGCCAGTTGTGAACTAATACAGCATCGTAACACTGCCCCAGGGTGTTGTCGAAAGGCCCTTGGCCTAAGAGCCAAGAGTCTTGGGTTCTGGTCCCCTTTCTGACATAAAAATTCCTATGACCTTGGAGAAGTCACTTTACTTCTCTGAGTTTGCTGACCACTCAGAATTTCCTTCCAGACTAAACAATCCATGGTCCTGAGCTTAAGGAGTTGAAGGCACAATTAGCAAGGAAAACAGCTGGGCAATGTGACCAGAACAGCCAATTCTACAGCAAATCCACCAGATCCAATGGCTGTTGAGCCCAAGGCTTTTTTTCTGACAAAACCCTTTGCAGGCAAGTCAGTTCCTACCCATAACGACACTATGGGACAGAATAGAACTGCCCCATAGGGCTTCCAAGGCTGCAATCTTTACGGAAATACATATCTTTCTCTGGAGGAGTGCCTAGCGGGTTCAAACCACTGACCTCTAGGTTAGCAGCCGAGTGCTTAACCACTGTGCCACCAGGGCTCCCTTTTTCTAACAAAGGAGCAGCACATGAGTGTATTCTTCCTGGGACAAAGATTCAGAAATGACTAGCAGTAATATTTAGGAAAAGTATTGAGCCACCCTCATGGTGAAAAAGGGTTGGTGTCAAAAGTTTTTTGAGTGTCTGTTATGTACCAGATGTCCCTCAAATGACAATTTGAACCCTACAACAGTTCAAAGCTATAGAAATAGCAGAAGTTAAGGTTAGGATTAGTGTTGGGCTCACAGTCACTTCCTTCTGGAGGTTAAAGCCTGCTGTGGAGCCCCTCAACTGCTAAATGAAAAGTTGGGGTTTTGAGTTCACCCAGAGGCACTTTGGAAGAAAGGCTTGGCGATCTACTTCCAAAAAAATCAGCCACTGAACACCTTATGCAGCGTTGTTCTGCTCTGACACGCACAGGTCACCACAGGTTGGAACTGATTTGATGGCAACTGGTTGGTTGGTTGATGGCTAGAGTATTACTTCTTGGGAACGATTTGGACTACTTAACCTGACTTTTCCTATTTCAGTGAGTTTGGGATAAATTATATAAGAAAATCTAGTACCATCTCACTAGCACTAACGTTTCTTGCTACCCAATTTTTAAGAACTAAGACAAACGAGTCAGAGGGAAAACCAGCTCGCTGTCGTCACTACCGCCTGCCCAGCCCTCCGCTCTCCTCTGCCTCCCTAGGCATCAATGCAGCAACTATCCTGAAAATGTTTCCTCGGAACCAAGCCTGCAGCAAATGCTCCCTTTGCCTCCACCTCGTGGAAAGAGGCTACGCTAATTTGAAATTAGGTTTACTCAAGGTTAGGAAACCGAAACACCTCCTGTGCAAGAGGAGTAAGGCTTAGTAGGGCAATAGCGGTATATGCTTGTTTGCAGGTGGGGTCATAGAGATTCACTATATTTTATTTTATGCAAGGCAATCAGGGTGCCAGCAGGCCATGAAGCAGCAGCACCTGTTCTGACCTCCATTTCCTCACTTTCCATCGACTCTTCCGGTTAGAGGGCATATAGATGCTAATCCCTACCTCTTTTTCATTGAGAACTTTAAGGATGAAAACTTCTAGTTGAACTGATCCTGACTCGACTGAATTGCGTTTCCTTTATACACAGCCTGATGGCTCAGGGACACTTGACTGGCTATGACTTAGGAGGACATGTCGGCTGCATCAAGTGGCAGAGTCCAAAAACACCTCAGAGCAGCTTTTCTGAAACACAGGGAGAAACTCTGACTGGACACCACAGCCCAAGCATGAGGGAAAGCAAGACAGAGGATGAGACTTCCCGTAGGAGATAGTTACCAATGAACTCGAAAGCCTCTTCGAAGTACTGCCGGAGGTTCTGCTTGTTGCTGTCCGTGGCGGGCAGCCGCTTGTAGTTGAACAGGCCTTTCTCGTAGTGGTAGAGAGGGAGGTGGGTGGTGACGTTGATGACATAGCCGATGTTCAGCCGCTGCATCGTGTCCAGGTCCTGAGCATCCTGCTCGTTGCCAAGAAACAGGAAGGGCAAGATGGGGGTCAGCTCTGCATTCTCAATGTCGGGGGTGGCGGGGATGGACTGAGGTAGGAGGCCCGAGGCTGCAGGTGCACCACCCCCAACCTCCGGGCACTCTTGGAGCTGGAGGGAGTTGTCACAGAGGTTTTCATGGTTCTGCTTAAAACTACTAAGTCCACCTGGAACAAAAACACAGAAAGAGAAATGATTAGCCCCGCGACTTCAGAGCTGGCAGAAAATGCCACCTTCCCTACGAGAATGAGTGTGCGTGGTGGCTTCTGTGTATTTTTTGCGTAATCAAAACCAAAATGAAAGTCCATTTGGAGAACCCAGGACAAGCTTTGGAGGATATTATTGCAAGCAGTGCTTTGTTGGAAAATGTGCTGTTTATACAAACTGGGGCACATTCCTCTGGAAAGAGTTCCACAAGCATCAGGCGATTTCGTCATCTGCAAATTGTATCAGCCTCAAAGAGCCATATGCTCAGTGGCCTATATAAGGAGCCGAGGAGGGCACGGATGACCTCCCTGGTGGAGGACCCTTCCGTGGAGAAGCCCTGTGGGGATCTCAGCACTGCAGGCGCATGTCTTGTAGTCTTCATCAGCTCACTCCACCCGGAAAACCAAGTTCGTTCCCACTACAGCAGAGTGGGTAAGAGCAGAGAAGGAGCCAGGGTACCTTGACCATGACCCTAGCTCCCTCGCTTCTTGGCTTTGTGACTTGGCCAGTGGATTCTCTCTCTGCACCTCAGTTCCCCCAGCTGTAAAATGACGGTAGTGGCATCCACCTCTTAGTATGATTGTGAGTCTGGAATGAAGGGATACACTTGAAGTGTTTAGCACATCGCCTGGCAATAGCATGGGCTCAGTCAGTATGGGCTATTTTTATTATCTCCATTATTGCCCACAGGTGGAGGCAGCTGGGAAACGATGAGGCAGAGGCGTTCTTTATGATCTCTTCTTCCGTGTCTTTTGTCAACACTGCCTTCCAGTAGAACAAAGTCTGAGAGAAGCTCAGTCCCTGGTACCTGACTCTCCAAGGTCTGTGTGCACATAAACCCGTTAGGAAATCTCTAATGGATCCAGTGAATACATAGCTTTGAGCTTAAGGCTCAGCTCTGCCTCCCAAGAGTTACGGGTTTAGTATAAAAGCTTAAACTGAGCCTGTTTCCCCATTTTAAAAAGGCAAACCTCCCCCTAACAAGTATAGTCTCACTTATGGGGCTATCTCTTCAGGAAATAATCTAACCAAAGACATTCAGCTCGATGTGTAAAGAGAACCGCCGGTTATATATATATCGTCTGCCTATGTATATATATATACGTATATATACATGAAATACAGCATTATCTATTTTGTGGAAAAGGTCAAATACACGACAAGAGGGAAAAAGTTATTACACACATTCAATGGAATATTATATAGCCATTAAAAGAGTAAATTGTGAAAATTATATGAAAACAAAGAAAAGGTTTGCTTAATACTAAGTGAAAAAAAGCCCATTCAAAAACACCCACTCTGTGGATAATCAAAGGCTGCAGGACTATGCTAAAAATGAAAAGAACAATTAGGAAATATATGGATCGTAAGTTTCTTGTTTAAGTGTTTCCTTTAATATTTGTTACACATACTAACACGCAGATAACCCCAAGGAGTTATCAGGAGGCTCAGGTTATACACTATCCATGTAAGGGCGAAGAACTCTGGGTTGACATAATTACCACTACCCCACTACCACTGCCGTCAAGTCAATTCTGCCTCCTAGCGACCCTGCAGAACAGAGTAGAACGGCCTCAGCCAAGTTTCCAAGGCTGTAACCTTCATGGCAGCAGACTGCCACCTCTTTTCTTGCAGGGCAGCTGGTGGGTTCAAAATGGCCAACCTTTCAGTTAGCTGCTGAGCGCTGCACCACTGTGCCTCCAGGGCTCCTTTTATTACCACCCCGTGAGCTCTAATTCTGATCTTACAAAATTAGAGGAAGTCCAGCCTTCCCTTTGCAAACAGGGCAGAACTGGAAAACTCCTCTAAGCTGGAAGGCACCAGAACAGAACGTTTACACCTAAAGATAGCTGCTTCACATCTGTCTTGGTAGTTCCAGAAGATAAGACAGGAACCGCAAAGTGCAAACAGGATACGGTTATGTTGAAATAAGGGCAGGAAGTCAATCTGTCCACCAGCTTCTGAACCAAACATATGTTCTTCTCCATTTCGAGTCTCGCCTTTGGTAAGCACAGTCGGCAGCTCCAGGCCGTAACTAGACTGAGCCACACTGCTCTTTCCAGCCCACCGACGCAGAGTCGCTCTCGTTAAGGGACAATGATGAGCTAAAGTAAATTCAGTTCAGGTCGTGACCATTTTACACATCTGTATGAGTCAAAACCTATCTTTGCTCCTAAAGAGAAAAACCAAAGAGCTATACACTCATTTTAATCGATTTCCAGGATTAAACTCTGCCCCTTTTTATTGTTAGTTTAGCCTTCGACGAAAGGACAACAATAAAATCTCGCTAGGTTCAAAAAGATAATTTTTAAAATTGAAAGGAAAAAACGGACGGCCAGAAAAACTACCAGAAACCACCTCAACAACAACAACAAAAGTTGATCACTGCCACCATCGCAGGTTCCATAAAAGTCACTCCAGAACGCTACAGAGGTTTTTGTTTTTTTTTTTAAAGTCTTCTCAGCTTTGCTTCCATAAAATACAAGTAAACCGTTCCACACAGACACACAGATGCTGTGATGGAGACCTAATTCTTTTTTTTTCTTAAGAAAAAAGCAGTTGTTATGCTTTTCCATATACAAGGGAAAAACAACAAAACAAACTTGAAAAGTCTCTAAGGGGGAAAAAATCTCTGTTCTTATTTAGGGTAGCAAAGCTGTAATTTGTCTTAGAAGCAGCTAGTAAAAAAAAAAAAAGGCACGCCAGAAAACCCCCCACACAGAAAAAGCTGCATTCAGCTTTTTAAAATTCCGTCTCTACACCTCCTTTCCCAGTGACATCAGCTGGAGGCTCCCCACCTGCCCAGTTGCCATAGCACTGACACAAAGACATACAATGACATCAGTTGGCATGATATCAGCTCTTTGAGTGCAAACAATACAAGAAGAACTACTTTGTTTAAGGCCTTTGGTGCAACTGTGTTCTGGGGAACCAATGATGTAATGCTAACAGGTGGCATGGGCCTGCCATTTGCCTAATGGGGGAAAAAACCCACGGAGGAGGCAGGGAGGGAATTTGAGACAGACACACACAAAATGCTCCAAATCACAGGGGTGCCGGTGGGCAAAATCACGTGTATATTGTATGTGGAAGTCATGTGGAACTCAGCACATAACAATATTTGGAGAGAGAGTGCGTAGGAAAGGAGATACTGTAATTCCAGCATATTGAGCTGGACAAAGAAGTTCTCAATGAGGGATCTGAAGCAATGGCCTCCTGTTGTCAGTCAACTGACCGACTCAGTCATCGGTTCTCATTAAGGGTGATGCACATCTGTGTACTGCAGTAAAACAGCAACAACAAGACCAACTTTGTGGTTTTGCAAAACACACCAGTAGAAGCTCTCAGTGGTGATCTGTATTGGGAAGATTTTCTTCCAGTGGGGACTTGGAAAATGGAATTGGGAGCTGGGCTGCGGGAGAGCAGGGCTAGAATAGTTTTCTCTTCCAACTCCACCTGCATCGAATACCACCAGAGGCCAAACTTAGCAACTACTCCCTCGGGAACTTCGATTATTTTACCTTTGTTATTACTACATAAGAATATTGGAACATAATAACTAACAGTTAAAGCAGAGGAAGGGTCGCTATGAGTCGGAATCAGTTCCACGGCAATGGGTTTGTTTGGTTAAGGTATCACGGTAGTTAAGAGCTGGGGATTAGAGGCAGACAGATCCAGGCTGCAGCTGTGACTTTGCTTCATGCAAGTTGTGAGAGCTGGTGAAAATCACTTTCCCTCATTAAGCCTCAGTTTATCTATCTATAAAATGGACATAATATCACCTACCCATAGGGTTGTGATACAGATAAAAAGAAAGCTTATATATATGTCTTGGTATATAACCAGCTGTTCGTTAATAACTTATTTTTATCCCAGTAGCATCATGGTCGTCCTCACCGCGAGCTGATCCACATACAGTCCTAAGTGCAGTGCAGTGATTCAGAGGAGGGGCTCGCAGCCCAGACTGCTTGGGTTCGAATCCCAGCACTGCCAAGTGCCAGCTACGAGAACTTGGGAAAATTCTACCCTCTCTAGTACTCAGTTTCCTCCATAATAAATGAAGATAATAATAGCACCTACTTCACAGTAGTGTTGTGAAGATTATATGGGTTAATAAAGTGCTTTGAAACAATGCTTCACACACACTAAGTGCTATATAAATGTTAGCTTTCATTATTTTATTTTTTTTACTTTGGGAGACTACTGTTTTAAACCCCCCACCCCAAACTGCTTAATATAAAGACCCTAAATGATAAATTAATGCTCCAGAGTTTTGCTTTTAAATTGTTACTAAAAAAAAAAAAAAAGAACTAGGAGCCAAGATATGTGATGAGTTTTAAAGTCTGGAGAATATATTTTTATCCTACAGAAAGCAATAGCTCTCTGTCCTCCCTAAACAAATGATCCGATTTCATTTTGTTTGGCCTAGCTGTCCCAGGGAAGACTGCATGTGTTTGGATTCCTAATTTTTCCAGAGGAGGACTGAATTTTGTAAACAAAATGGCTGTTCTCCTGTCCACCACCCCCACCGCAGCCCCCACCCAGTGAGGTGACCTCCCTATGCGCACAAGGGCTTGCAGTTATCAATGCAAATATTTTCCAGGCAGCAGCAACCATGCCAGGGCAAAAAAAAAAACAAAACAAACCCACTGCCACCGAGTCAATTCCAGCTCATAGCAACCCTATAGGACAGAGTAGAACTGCCTCATAGGGTTTCCGAAGAGCGGCTGGTGGAGTTGAACTGCTGACCTTTTTAGTTAGCAGCCAAACTCTTAACTACTGCGCCACCAGGGCTTAGCTTTGCCAACGTGAGCATGGTCAGCATGCTGATCCTGAGTGGCGACAGCAGAGAATACCAGCAGCCTGAAGAAACTGCCATGGAATACCACTCATCAGTTCTTCCAACAGGAGGTCAGCTAAGCGGCAATCCAACTGAAGCAATAGATTCTAGTTTGGGGGG